ATGACAATCCTGACGAACGGAGTCGACGAAAAACGTAGGATTTGCAGATTGACGAACTTGACAAACGGTGTCGGGTGTTGAGAATGACATACTTTGCAAATATTACTCCACGTCCTCAAACCTCTGGCAGCAACATATTCTACGAGCAACATTCACCAAAGATTTCCACAAGCATCTTTTGGACCTCTTCCAAAGCGATCGACATTTAGGTTCACGTGGTACTTCTGCTGACACGTGGGTCAGTGTTTACTCCTCCATACATTGAGGACAGAAGCCTTAGCTCCGGCGACGACTGGAAATTCCTAGCAAGTTTGAGTCGCAGTGGTGACTCGTAGACAGCTGTGATTCTCCGATCGACAATCAAGTCCAGTGATTCGATCAATAAATATCGGCGATCGAGTTGCGCCAATGTTGGAGTGTCTACGTGGGAGCCGTCCAACTCTGCAACCTTGCTAAAGGTTGGCAGTCACGTGCTCACGTCTCTGCTACGACGTAATACACGGCTGGTGATTCAATCCTGAGCTCGGGTGATGACTTAGTACGCCTCATCGGTGACCCGACCGCCGTTATCTCACCATCAAAAGCCAAAGCTTGCTAGTCAACCATCACGGATCGTTCCTCGTCGGTATTATCACACGACTGCTGACTATATGGAATTTCCAAGTGCAAGGCGCCCATCATCGGTATCTACCAAAACTACCAAACAGTGTTTTTTTTTTCAAATGTCTAACTGTGTCTTGGACAAGCGCTAAACATAAACTAACTACTTACTTAGAACAATCTGTTTGTACACAGCAAAATCTAAATACTAGTAGCATTGTTTTTTTCTGGTTTATAGTGTTTATTGTATATTAATTAATCATAATTTAACAATTATTTTGATGAATAAAACCTACGAATGTTCTTAAAATGATACATCGATCGATGATCAGAATTACATCACATCGAGACATAATTTAGACCAACGAAGTCTATATTTCAAATCTGCAAACTTTTTTTACACAATTATAACAATTATTTCTAGGTTTCTGCGGTGTTATTACACGATTTGGGCAACACTTGGTACCAAAATACCTATTGTAAGCTGGATTTTTACTGATATATTTTTGAGTCTAATAACATACACATGACAGCATATAGGACAAAAATAGGTCTATAAGACCAGTACTTTTCGGTGCGATTTCAGTCCTCGTCTCTAATGAACAAACCATTTTCTAATGGTAATATAGATAGAGGTAATTTATAGATAACTATTTTAAAAAGTAAGATAGGTACCGGTTAAATGTGATTTACGATCACACATAACCAAACACATGTACATTTTGTTGAGTGCAATTAATTGTTCGCTATAAAAACTTTCAAAGCTAAATACTAATACCTACAATATTATTAACAATTATTATTAACTGACAAAAACTTTTAAATAATTAATAATTCAAATAATTTTTATACGGTAAAACCGGGTGAATAGAAACAGTGGTGTGAATAGAAACAAAATCGGGAAAGTTACTTGGACGTCTCCTCGGCTGAATATTGAAGTTATCAATATGAAATATTCACCCATTTTAGGGGTGGATAGAAACACATAGTAGAACACACAAATAGATTATTTAAATTTAAGTATGATTGCAAATCAAATTCCTAGTTTACGAGTATTCCCTATAAATTAGGTTTCAATTTGAGAAGATGAACACCAAAAGACTGATTTAAAAATATTTAATTTTTATTTTGAAAATTTAATTTTATATTGTTCTTATTTTTTTTTCATTGAAATATGTACGTTGAAAATACATTTTAAAGGTTTTTAATTGTTCTCTTTATTTTTAAAAATCTCAATAATTATTTCTATTGACCCTTCTGTTTTTAAAATAGAAAAATACACCAAAACCCCATATATATTTCTATTGTCATTTGTCACCATCTGTCGGCGGAATAGAAACAAAGCACCTACAACAATATATAAAATAAATTGTTAAACATACAACAAATTTGAATACCTATACACATTTAAAGTGATCAACGAGGCCAGTGTTTTGATGTATTGATCATCTATAATGTCCAAATAGAAAAGTTGTTATGATATTGTAAAGTTCAAAAATGTTTCTATTCACCCGGTTTTACGGAACTATTTACGCTACTATATTATATTATTATTATATAAAAAAAGTAAAAACCAGTGAGAATCACATGATATAATATTACGATCACAAATTTAAATTTGTGATTTTAATGAAAACAAAATAATTTTTAATTTAAATTTTTTATAATTTCTATTGGTTACAAAAAATACTTTTGGCCCTAGTTATTGTTAAAGGTGCTACGTCACGAGATGTTCACATTTAAAATATTGTGTACTACTAAACTAAATGTTGAGTACTTATCAATATTAATTTTTATAATTTATTATACCTACTCTGCCCAAGTTAAATTAGTCTTTAAACTAGTTCTTTCTATAGTTGTTTGTTTGGTTTCAGACAAACTGTATAATGCGATCCTTCAATGAATGCAATATTATACAATAATTACTTATATGGATTGCCACTTCTTAATTTTTTTTTGCACATATTTTTGATGACCTAAACATAAAAAATTGGTTACCTTTCAACAAATGCTTAAATCCGACTTAAGTCCAACATCGTTCAGGTTGGTAGTAGCCTGATGTGTTTGTGAATTTAGAAGTTCATAATCACTCAAGAGGTAATAATCATTGTAATTTCATTCTCATAAGGATTTCATCTGAAGATTTGACAATACTTCTGTCCACAATAATTTTGTTCTTTCATTATACATTTTAATTAAGCTATCTAGTTTCAGAGTGTATTGATAGTACCATAGGCGGAGATCGGGGGGGGGCTTACGGGGGCTTAGTCCCCCCAAAATAAATGATTTGAAGTTAAAGACCCCCTAAGAATATTAAACAAACAATACCGTAATTTTGTACAGTTTGCAGAACTTTTTTCATTATTTTATATTCTTATATCCACAATTGTATAAGTGTACCTAGTACATTACATACACACTATTTACCAATTTATTATTTACGATAACATACCGAACAATTGAGTCACAATTATTCACAATAATATTATATTGTGTTTATATACCTAATATTGTACATATTTTGTACCAATTGGCCATCTATATTGAATAACATATTATACCATTCTATTTTAGATCGGAAAAATATTATTTCTTTTCCTAATTCTTGTTGATTCTCGAGAAGCGATAGCTATTATAGGACTATCGCTGTAGCTGTATTAAACCTATCGTAAAGTTTATCGCGATTGAATGAATCGTTAACCGTATTGACCATTTTATACTAAATTATATTTTACTTATTGTTTGATTTTCTTGGGAATACATTTCTTTTGAGATTGTGATTTAGATTTTTAATAAATAATTTAGTTCAAATATGTTTGAAATATTTAAATTGAAATCGTTTATTAATTATTCTTTTTTTATGTTTGTAACTATTTAAGTTGTTATGATAACGAGTCAACGAGAACAATTTTTTATGAGTGATCTAATGTAAAAATTAGTTTGTTGGGGGTATGTGGACAATGCCCCCACGGGTCTGTTTGTCATCAAATATTTGAGCCCCCCTTAATATTTCACAAGATCTCCGCCTATGGATAGTACCCATTAATTATTAAACCATTATGAGTTTTTATTGAATTTTTATAGTAAAGTTTGACTCGCGTTCATACATTTTAGCATCTGAATATTTTCAATTATTAATAGCTATATTATTTTTACTGAATTACATAGACTTAAACAATGAAACAGTGATACACATATTATAATCAATACTTTTTGAAAAATTCACCTACCTAATAATACAATAATAATTCTCACGGATATTTACTTATTTATCTATTACATTTTTTGCTTGCCATTATTTTACTTACTGCCGACTGTGTTAAATGCATATTATGTACAGACTCAACAGAATGTAACAAAAATAAATGAGTGTCAATAAGTACCACGTCACCGTAGAACAGTGCGAATAGGTTTTAATGGAATAAATAAGTAAGTAGTACCTAGCTTAAATTAATCCAAATATTTTTAAAATGTCATTAAGCATAGTCAAATGTATACTATTACTACGTATACCATAACAGTTTTAAGTCCTCGGGAGTAATGTTTTTTAATTACAAGTTACAACGAAATAACTAACATTGTTATACTTCGTTTGAATATCTAATTTCTAAGTCACATAGTGAAATTCTGCAAAAACTCTTTGAAAACTTTTTAAAGATTTATTATTTTTTTAGTATATTAGGAAATAGGAGCAGACTGAGATGATATAATATAGGTGCACCTTTGCTTTAGCTTTAGGTTGTTCAGTTGTTGCCAATTATCCAACTACATAATATTGTTATTTAGAATATTCTGGTACACTGTTGGTTAATGTTAGACGCCACTAGACGGCAGGTGATATTATCGTATACATTTTATTAAAACAAAAAAACAAAATATTGAAATAATTTTAAAACTTCAAAAATTTTGTTTCTCAAATCACAAAAAAAATGTTGTTTTCCCAAAGATTATGTAGCAACTGGCATATTATGCCCTTTTATACCAGTCAGCGCCTGTATATTGTGTTTCGACTTTCGATTAAATATTATTAACATGACTTTAAAGTTTAAGTTAAATAAAAAAGATCTAAGATACTGTAACCAAAGAAACATCAGCGATCAGTGCGATCCTACCTATTCAGCTCGCAGCAATAGTCGCACATGGTAGTGTATACGGGTGTCACCGGTTTCCGCCAAAAATTACCTTTCCGTTTTCCGCCAATACCTTTTTCCGCCAAATTAGAAAAAACGTCATTCCTTTTTCCGCCAATTATAAATTATAGAATTTTAAAGTTTGGGAACCCTTATCCGTAAAGATTTAATAATTTTACATATTTTTTTATGGAACTATAATATTATATTGTATAGGTACACACTATAGAGTTAAATAATATAATTTTATCATAACACTTATTAGGTAGGTACAATAGATATAAGTATTAAAAAAAATTATATTTATATTTGCATTGTTTTGATGACAATATGTCAATATGTTAGCGCTCGATGATTGGTTGAAACTTGAAATTGAAATTTGAAATCACATTGTAAAAAACTGAAACATAGTTAAAATTAAATTAAATAATATATAATATAATATAAGTATATAATATTTTATTCGAACCTTATTTAGCATAATGATTTGATATCAGTTTTACAAATTCATATCTACTGATTTCATCTCGTTGGTATTTTGAAATTAATTCTTCATTTCGTTTACGTTTATCGTTCATATTTTTTCTTGGTGTTTTACATTCATTAATACTCTTTAAAGTAACATAGACATTAGTTTGAATATTTTCTATAAGTACAGTGATCCATGGTATTATATGTGGTGTTCGTTTATAAAAATGATCTTTGAATACAGCGTGAAATGATTCACACGCGTTCGTCGTCCTAGTTAAACTTGCCGATAATGAAGCCCACAGTGATGGAGGGTAAGAACAATCGTCTCCTATGTAATTATCTACTAAGTAGTCGGAGTATTTTGTTAATAGTTCATTAACAGGACGATCACTCATAAAATCATATGAAAAACAATCTGATACTTCCTGCGCATCAAGAAACAAAAGACCAAATGTGTGTCGTAACCATTTGCCGATTTCCGAATTTTTTTCTTTATATTCAATTGATAAACCAAGAGATTGTATTTTCTTCCACCAAGAATTAGTCAAATGAAATCTACAACCAATTATATTACTTTCTGGCCAAACTTCAGTAACTGCATTTATAATAGCTTTTTCGTAATCAATAGTCACATTTGCAGGTGAAAAAATCAAATTCATATCTTTGCATTTTTGACAAATAGAACGAAGTGCAAAAACATAGGAAGATGTTAGTTTATTTGGTAATAAGCAAAATATGAGTGGAACATAGTGACCGTTTTGAAATCCATGGATAGTAAACATTTGCATAAAAAAGCGAGTACAATAATCAAATGTCCCATCCATATAAACAGTATCTACCGAAGTCAAAAATTGTAAATTTGTGTAACACGAAAAAATAATTATATTTTCTTTTTCATTATTTAATAGTAAGAAATTTTCTTTTTGTTTTGTTTCAATATTTAATACATTTAAAGCTTGGTGTACCTCAGAAATGGATTTTGAATTTGCTGGGAGGGTTTTGCGTCTCTTTTCGTACATATTTTTTCTTATTCTATTAATGTCGTTTACTGTTATTTCTTTGGCACACTCATTATGTATTAATTCTTGTAAAATGATTTTTTTTGGTCTTGTACTTACGTCTTCTAGCGCTTTCCTTTTGCACGAGGTATTAACAATTTGCCGATTTATGGTATTTTCATTTACAGCTTCGTGATGGTGTTCATTTTCCGTGTAGAATACTTCATTGTCGGAATTTTTTTTTGTATATACTTTTGCATCACATACTTTGTTAATACATCTCCAACGCACTTTATTTTTTCCTTCATATGCTTTACTAAATTTAAAATTATCAATTACAATTTGTGGATTTTCGCGTTTACTGGTAATTAATTGTGCAGACATTATACTGTAGCTTATATTAGTTAAAACACATCAAACACTATCCACTGATCGGTGGTCACTAGTCACTACTCAGTACTCAATACCGTAATATTTTTAACAAATCGAACAAACTATTGCAGTATGATATCAGATGACAGATAAGATAATATTATGTATATCTATAAAACCATATAAGATATTATATAGGTACCATAATATAGACTATTATATCACAAAATAAACCATAGGTTTATCGTAATAAGTGTTATGATAAAATTATATTTCTTGACTTATTTTGTCGGTAAACTGATCATTACTATTATATAATAAGTAATAACTGGAAAAAATATTATTATTTAACTCTATATAGTGTGTACCTATACAATATAATATTATATAGTTCCATAAAAAAATATGTAAAATTATTAAATCTTTACGGATAAGGGTTCCCAAACTTTAAAATTCTATAATTTATAATTGGCGGAAAAAGGAATGACGTTTTTTCTAATTTGGCGGAAAAAGGTATTGGCGGAAAACGGAAAGGTAATTTTTGGCGGAAACCGGTGACACCCGTGTATACCTACTAGCATACATTTTATTCCTTTTTCGTCATAAAACCCACACAAACCCATATGAATAGGAAGGTGTACTAACCATCTTCCTTCACGTTCCCCGTGTATGTGTCTGAATATAAATATATTCCAATTATTAATTAGTACCTACCTATAATTATCAATTTTACAATAATTTCATAGTAGGTACACAACATAATATTTTCTCAAAGTACTATGGAAATAGGCATGTATTTGAATATAATATTGTAGTGGTCCAGCCCACAGATTGTGGTGTACAAGATGAAAGATGATAAGGTGTAAATAATTCTAAATCAATTTTAGATTATTGTGAACATAGACTTTATTCGACATATAAAAACTGATAGAATATTTCTGGTACATTGAAATTTATCAGAGAGTCGACTGGCGTGAAGGTGCTCGTACTGGCTCTGGTAAATCACGTCTGAATATCGGGTGGCTGGGTCCCTGTTTTATAGGCCTACTCTTCACTCTTCTCCTAACGATAAGACAACGCTGACCCCGTTTACTATTGAACGTGTGCGTACGAGTTCCAGGAAACGGTCTACGCCTACGCGGTTGTCGCTGTCGACATATTATTTGACGTCTATTTAATTTAATAGAACAATATTAATATTATTCATTATTTTATGTCCATAATATGTATGTGTCAAATTGTCTTCATATATCTTTCACAACGCGAATTCGTTTGTCGAGTTCTCAGAACTACGCACACAAAGACTGTAGCTATTATCCTAAATCTTTCAAGGCGCTTTCCCGATGTCAATCACATCCTAGTGTGGACAATCTCATGCGTCCTCCTCGCTATCTCAAGTATATACGTATAGGCGGGACGTCAGTACATAGCAATATAGAACTAGAACATAATGGTTAAGATATCATTACACGGGCATTTGTTGTCTCAGTCTTACAAGTGATCACGTGTGGTTCCATTAGTTTAAAAGTTAGAGTGAATTGACTTCTTATAAAATTGAAAGATAAGATTTGGTTTACGTCAGCTTTTAAGCATCCATTCAAAATGTGTCCAGATTTCCAGAATTAAGAAGTGGGAAATCTTAAAATAAATCATTGTGTTGGGTACAGCTCTGGAATGATCGAAAATATTCTCGATCATTTTATAGTTGCGTCTGTGTAACCACGACAGCACCCGAATATTCTAGACGCGACACCCCCCTAACCCCGTTGACCAATCCACGGTGGTCCCTATATATACAGGCTACCGCGGCTAGTGGCAAGTCACCGCGTGTTTTCATTGCGTTGGTAATTTCCGCGTAATTATTTCGTGACATCTATTTTACGTTGGTGGTTGCCGCGTAAAACTTATTATCGGCTGTTGCAGTGGCGCAGTACGCGATAAGAATTTGTTTTAGAATAATAATAATTTAGCAATTGTTTGTTATAATTTTTGTATTATTATTTTCTATAGTTTTGTTCTAATATTGTAATATTGTATTGTAATTTCGTACAATTATATTTCTTGGTATGTTATAAGTTACATTGACTTTCTTAAAATTTTTCAATACATCATATTACTTAATAATATATACATACAGTCCACTTGTCCTTAGTCAAAATATACACTTAAAGCGTGGTTACCCCAAACAACGAATTGCTCGAGACCTCGCTTACACATTGTAATAATTATTGTGTTAGTGCTAGATGTTTTAACGATAGAAAGATAGATTATTTGTAACCCGTGTTAGGTGCAGTAATATAATATCGATGGCTACGGACGAAAACCTCTTAAGTCATTTTTAACAAATTGTTCAGGAACAGCAAAAAACTGTGACGGGTATTAATATATGAAAATTGTATATTATAATAAACTTAATTTTAAAATAATTTTAACTTGTTTTTTATCTCAACACAGTTAATTAATAATGTATTACATATATGATACATTACTACAAATGTTAAGAAAAATTAAAACTACAAACAACTATTAGGAAATGTTTTAAAAATTAATTGAAATATATTAAGTGCAGTTACATAACTAATACAATAGGTAACAATATTAATTAATAATAATAAAATAAATCAACTTGATTTCATAAAAAAAAATAACAATATTTAAAAACAATTTAATAATAATTAATTTAATCAACCTGATAAAATAAAAAATAAAAACAATATTTAATGTTAATAAATTGATCACTTTTTTTTATTTTTTGTATAATGTAAGTTTTCATAAAATGGCCAAGTATGTTTTGGTAAAACTTGTTTGAGTTGTTGTAGGTGTATAATTTTTTCCTCTTTAATTTTTATTTCTTCTTTATATAAATTTTTTACCTCAAAATCAATTATTTTTCGGTTTTTATTTGGTAAATTTGCCCATTGATCACCATAATTTATTTTAAATTGTATTGTAGAGTCTGGGGTATATATTATTTAAAAGGTGTTGAATTTCGTCGTCAGGTAAAAGAGACATTATAACTGATTTATAATTTCTAGGTACCTACTCTTATTTATTTTACAATAAGTAGTACCTAATAACTTACAGTTAACTAATAGTTACTATACCTAAATATGTAATACCTATACCTAACAAAAAATCTCAAAAGTAGTTTAGTATACTTTATAATAAACACTGTGATTGTAATGGATCATAGTAAAACACATTTACCAAAACAGAATAATATAAATAAAGTTATGTGTTTATAACATTCATAATAATAATATTATAGTCGAGTTTTGATATTGATGATATGGATAAGAGGTTTAGTTTTTCTACGATATCTTATGAGATTGGCACAAAATATTATTATATCATGATATCAAACTGTGCACAATAATACAGTGCGTCCAATAGAAAGAAAATTTTTTTGAAAATTTCGACTTACGAGGTTTTTGTCCGTAGCCAACGATGTATAACTAGTATATTTATAAAATTAAACAGATAATGAAAGAACACTTCTAATTTTAATTATATTTTATGTACCTAGTTGTTATTTTTATTTTCTATACCTACTGAGTACTAAGGATGGAAAGCTTCACGATCTATTGAGTTATGACTTGCCACATTAATCTCATAAAATAAAACAGTTAACACCACCATTAATAGTAACCCATAGAGTGGTCAGTCATTCATCTTCCATACTGATGGTCGCTATGGGTATGGTAGGTAGGTAGGTACTAAGTTACAATTATATTACCTATTTGTATTTTTGAAGATTGTTATTTAATACTATTTAATGTAATTACCACATTAATAGTTTACCTGTACAATATTGAAAATGATTTGAGTAAGTACTTATAACCAGATTTGTCAAAATATTATTTTTTTAAGAAAATTATATAATTTATGTATACTTTTTTTTTTTATTATTGATCTTATATAAAACATCGGCTTCTGTGGCCATTAGTTTACAAATTTACAGTAATTTAAAATTAGTTACAATTACAATATTATATCTACATTGTGGAATTAAGGTCTTACATAAGGTTGTATAGCTGAATTTCTTTTATAAACATTAGGAT